GTGAAAGCTTAATTTTATGCTAGCTTCTATGTTCTATTAAGTGTGAACTACAAGAAGCTTAAGTTTGAGATTTACTAGTTTTATTTGCAATATCTTTTGGTATAATGTTTTTTGTTCAATCCAGGTGACCTGTTCAGAACATTGTCTACAGAAATATCTGAAGATGACCCAAAGGATATCAATGCGCTTTCAGGAATATCATATTCAACAAAATGAAGCTTTAGCAGCTAAAGCAGGACTGATTAGCCAACCTCGAATATAAAAATGGACCAATAATGTCAGGGCCCAAATGAATCATAAGACATTGCTGCACTAGTGGACTAATGGTCACATTTTAAAATGTCCAAAACACTGGTGCCTATTAAGATGCAACTGAAATGAACATTTAGAATCAAGAAAAGGTGGATGGAAACAAGAATTCATTATGTCTGATGGACCAACACTTCTGGTTTATTTTGAAAGTGAATGGTACACCTTTGAATTGTTTGTAAACTTAAGTCTACAGTGATCACTGCATTTAAGGTTCACAATGATGATGGAATAAACCTTGTTGGTGCTGAAGATGGTGTAAATCTTTCATTCAACGTCATCTTCTACCAAATTCTGTGCAGTCATACCTGCGAGAAAACGCTGAAAGAAATTCACATTTATTTATCAGAAAAAAGCAAGTGTTCTGTTCTATCATTAACATAAAAATGTTTAGAAGAAAGGGTGTTAGATGTATTGATTTCACTTTATACTGGTGAAAAAATATTTAAGCTTTCCTATTACATGTTTGGAAAGTTACAAGTTCTTTGCTGTAGTATACATTTTTCTTCCAAACATAATCCTTTCAAATCAGTACACCAATAAGACAACAATAAGAACATTCGCTTCAATCTTCACACTCGCTTAATATTGTCAAATTTTCACATACCTTCCACTTTAGGAAACAAAATAAAAATTCAATCAGCTGCCTTATTACTAGCTCAATTACTAATAAAAATGTTACATAGCAAATAGGTGTACAGAAAATCTTTAGGGAGTAATATAGAGCCAATCTTGATTGTTCTTGTTAGCTACTCATTTTCCACTGTAATTCAGATTTATATTTGTCTTAAGGTAGGGCTCTTAAAAGAAATCAAACACTGACTATAATACCAGTTAGGAATGACAAATTCTTATTCCATTGTAATTTCATGGGTAACATATTTTCAAGTAGGTTTGCTTCAATCTTTAGGTATGGCAAAAATGTTTCCAATGGTATAAGCAAGCTTCTCTAGTTTTCAAAACAAAGTGAGTTCAGAGTTTTACTTGTGATTTCAACTGATTGTTTGTCGCTTAATTTTCCAAAACAATAAGAATCAGTAATTCCGAATAACTTCTCAGACAACTTTGCAATATCAAAGGTGAAACTGAAACCATCTTTAAAAACTTTGGGAGCAAAAAGAAGTCTTCAAGTAAATTAGCCTAGACCGGAATGTCAAACCTATTTACGTAGGTGGCTACAAATCAATTTTTCTCTCAAGGTTCTTGTGCTCACCAACTGGTTCTCTTTCTAGTGCACCCACTCCTGCACGAGATCAGCCTTCCCTCAGCCCCACACTACTTATTCGTGCATTTCAAAGCCCACTGGAAGGTTAGATAGGGCAACTTGCATTATAGCTCCAGCCTGTCTGTTCGCCAATCCTGGTCTAGATGATTTGAAAAATTTACTAACTTGCAAACGTTTGAGTTCAATTTCACTTTTGCTAACTAGGCAAAACAAGTCTTTGAAATTTATGATTAATGCAGTTGACTCCACAGAGTCAAAACGCTCCAGCATTTAATGCAATCATGGCTGGTATAGGGTTTCAACTCCACTTTCCTACCCACTCCCAATATGCTAAAAATCTCTCAGTCCTGGCTTTTTAATATTCCTTGGTGACCAATTTGAAGGTGATTGAATTTAAAAATCCAAAAACAAATCAATTTTTGGAGATCCTTAGCTAATCTGTAGGTCTACTATAGAACATTGTACTTTCTGTAATCTGAACTTTTTATTTTCAGCTAATTATCTATACATGCATACGGTTCAAATGCACACAAAAAGTGAATATTAGCGTACCTGTCTTACAGTGGGCAATCTTTGGATGAGCATTTGAAACACTGGATGTGGTAGTGTCTGCTGAAGAACCTGTAATAGTTGCTGTGGCTGACCACATACCGATACAGCGTTACTTAAATGATCAACTCCTTTCTCATAGTCACCTAAAAATCAATAGAGTAATAGTCAAGTTATAGATTAGTAACATAGGTTGAGAGTTCACATATCACTTCAGTAAATTAATTCTGGTATTTTCTGAGCTGGGCCCAGAAAAATCATCTTAAAAGGAGCTGGATTTCAACCAGTTTAACACTCAGCACCTCTCCCTGGCCTATACATGAGTGAAGTCCCCAAATCAACTTATTAATTTCCTCCAAAATGGAAAAGAATAAAAACCTCTACCACTAGCAGAATGGATGTTTGAGGAAGGCTCAAACATCACTATCACATGGCAATTAGAAGTGAGCAATAAATGCAGCCTCTCAGGTATTGCTTGTGTAAGGAATTTATATTAATATTAAAAATATTTTAATTTAGGATGTATTTTGTTAATTCATTGAGTTAGTACATAGTAACTACATTTCAATCATTCTAATCCTGAAGACACTTACATTCTCTAATAACATCTTTCAAGTTTGTGCATCAACTCTAGTGTGCGTAGCATTAAACCACACAAACCTCCACTGCTACATCAGATCCTGCATGATCCAAATCAATATTCCAGTCAGGATTAAAGGAGCAAGAGTACCCAACCTCTGGCAGCTCATGGCTTTTAATTCAATAAATACACCAGAAAAAAAGTGATGAAACTTTGCTCTGAATCTACATAGTTCAACAAACCATATTTCCACATCAAGCTTCAAGTTTTCTATTTGCAACAGATTTAAATTTATATGGAAACTACAAACATTGATGACAAAGAAGTAAAGGTTAATAGAAGACCTGACTCTCAATATCTTTTTCCTCACATTTCTCAGTTTTCTTCTTGTTACTCAAAAATCATAACAATGAATGGAAGTGAAAGGCTGTTTAAATTGCAAAACTGATTCACTGTGATTACTCAACATTCAAGATATATATTTAAAACAATATTATCTTTTGGGGTTGCTCACAAACACTAGCCAAGTGGAACCAAAGGATTTGAGGCTGATCTTCAGAAAACCCTAATTATATTCTTCATGAACTCATTCAGCCAGAAGGTTGATCTTTTGTTGGATTCTGAGTTGTGTGTTATTCTTTGAGCAGCAGTTCTATTTTTCCAATTTCAAAATTAGGTGCTGGGATTTCTAAACACAGGTAGGTACTTCATTGTACTTAGCAGTCTTCTAACAAACAAATAAAGTACTAGAACCAAGTGGATATGATTAAAATAGTTGCCTATATTAAGCCACAGTTGGTTTAGCTAACGCCAGACTACCATTGCAGTTATTTTGTTTTCAACATTTCAAAATCAGAAAATAAGACACTTTTCCCTCAAACCAAAAGAAACAAACCAAAAGTACATCTATGTAATCTCCATTACATATAGAATGCAAACTGTATTACCGTCTGAGAAACTCAACAGCATTTTTACTCATAACCATTGTGTTGAGATAACATTGAGTAAAACAAGCATTTAGGGCAAAAAAAAAAAGGCTGGCTAATGCAAGTATACCACGTCATGATTTTAAAAAAAAAAAAGGATGTTTTGTGTGTGTCAACTACTGCACCAAGTATAAGCAAAAAAAAAGTGACTTTTAGATCATACACAATTGGGTTGATTTGTTCCAGGTATGACACTAACCAGCAAAGAATTTCTCCCAATTTCACTGGCAGTTTTCCAATCTTTGGAACTTTTCCAGAATCTGGAGATTCTTGGAAGATTACTATCATTACATCCACTACCTCTATAGCTACTTCCTTAAATATTCTACGATGCATCCCATCAGGGCCTGAAGATAACAAGGTGCAGGGCTGGATGAACACAGCAGGCCAAGCAGCATCATAGGAGCAGAGAGGCTGACGTTTTGGGCCTAGACCCTTCATCAGAAAAGCCTGAAGATATATTGGTCTTCAGCCCCATTAATTTCCTTACACATTTTCTCTGGTAATAATTTTTGTAATATTTCTTCTCCTTCTTCTGCCCCATGACTATTTAGTAATTTTAGAATGCAATGAGAGTCTTCTACAGCAAAGACTGATAAGCGTTTATTCAGCTTCTCTGCCATTTGCTGGTTCCCCATTATTATTACCCCAACTTCATCTTCTAAAGGATCTCTGCTCACTTTGGCTTCTCTCTTCCTTCATATACATTTATTAAAAACTCTTGCAGTTCATGTTGATCTTACTTGCAAGTTTACATTTGAAGTTTTTTTTTCCCTTTTTTTGATCATCTTTTGTTTGTTCTTAAAACTTTTCTAATCCTCTGGTTTACCATTAATATTAGTCACAGTATAGGTTTTTCTTTCAATTGTTACTATCCTTAACTTCCCTGGTTAACTATGTTTGGCCGAACCCCTTCCTAGAATCCTTCTTCCTCACTTGAATATATCTTTGCTGTAAATCATGAACTATTTTCTTAAAATCTGCCATTCTTAAAATCTTCCTCAACAGTATATGAGACTAAACTCCTTTTCCAGTCCACTCTAGCCAGCTCCACCCTCCTTCCTTTGTAATTACCCTTAAGTGCAGCACAGTTGTTTCCAATACTAGCTCCTCCCTCCCAAACTGAATGCTAAATTCTACCATGTTGTGGTCACTATTTCCTTGGTGTTTTTTACTTTAGCATCCGTGACAATGTAAACTTCACAACTTTAATAACTTAATACATTGAAACAATCAGCAATAACTCATTCTGGGATGAACTGTTGAGATGAAAGGGACAAAGAAGCTATCACACAGAGACTAAAAGCAATTAGCCATATCTCGGCAAGATTACATAAACAAAATCATTTTGACACCTATTTAATAAATTGGATGCTTTATTGCCACATTGCCCTGCAGAGGAATTCAAGAAGTTAATTACAGGAAAAGCTGTGTTTTAAACAAACAGCTAACCCCTAATCTAACAAGGAATGAGGGAGCTACTTCTGACAAGAAGGCAAGCTACAGACTTGAGGTCCCCAGGAAAGTAATCAAAGGTGGGGATGAAAGAATCTATCGAATCATCAATAACGTCACACCACAAACTTGAAAGAGAGAAAAACGTATAAGAATCCAACACCAGGACTCTCCCTTAGCAGAATTTCAAAGAACAACACTGCACAAGGATCGAACCCTGGACACTTAGACAGAGCTGTTGGTGGAATCCCGGCCAGATTCCATCATTGATCAAGTTGAGTTGAGGCTTAACTTGCTTATTTGAAGGGCCTTATTTTGGTCGCTAAATGCAATAAAGTTCAAATCATTGTTTTGTACCTGATTGTCTGTGAGATTTCTTAATAAGCAGCCGCACTAAAAGTAACTTGCAGTGCTTTTCCCACAACATATCATTTATTAAACCTGCCTTATTACATCT